TTTTTTTTTTTTTTTTTTGTTTTTTTTTTTTTTTTTTTTTTTTTGTGCCAATGCTGCTCTTTCTTCAGAAGATTCTGGTGCTTTTTTTTGGAAGTGAGAAAAGTCCCTTTGTTCCTGGCCCCGTGAGGCCCCATCCTTAGGCTTGCTGGGGCCCTCAGGCTGCTCAGAATGAGGGCTGAGACGACTTTCCGGGAGCCCAGCTGGTCCCACGCACAGGCCCCGATATCGATCTGAGTCTCCCCACATCAGGGTGTCGGTCGCCAGGCCGAGCATCCCCGGCTGCGTGCACAGGCCAGTGGCTCATAGGAGACAGGCTGGGCACTGAGGCACCTTCAGGCAGGAACATCTGAGCCAATCCGCGCCCACCCTCTGGCCCTCCCAGGAGAGCACGTTGCGTGTCTGTTCCAGCAGCCTCCAGCCGCCCATCCTTCGCACACAACTGCCAGGCCTTTTGCCCCCTTGCTCCGCCCCCGCCCTCGAGATCATCCCAATCCCGACCGCCCCCCAACCCCGCACACACCCCTGACTCTTCAGCCTCGGGCACGTTGTCTGGACCGCACTGCCGTTCCCGTCCCAGGCCCGCTGCTCTCCCTGCGGATTCTAACCCAGCCGCGGCCGGCGATGGCAGGAGCTTGAATACCCGAAAACAAGCTCCCTTTTTAAGACCCCCAGAAATCCCTCACGCTGACAAGACCGCTAAAGAAAAGCCTCTGTTTCATGCGTCAATGTAGAGTGACGCATGCCAGAGGGGGGCGTCAGCGAGCCATTCGCTTTGGTTTCCTAAAGTCTAGAAAAGATGATGCAGACTTGACTTGGTGTGAACAGTAATAGATCGGGCCTAGTTTCCAAGCAAGCAGATTCCAGACTGCAAAGAGAGGAGGAAGAAGGAAAAAGTGGTCTCTGGCGAACCCCCCTCCCCCTTTTCCCCTCTTCCCAAATCAAGGAAAGTCTACTTTTTTTTTTTTTACTATATGCTAAAAATATTTTAATACATCTAGTATTTTTTTTTTAATAATGATAGTCTACTTCTAAAGTCCCGACCCTAAATCTAGGCTGAGTTTGAGATTAGAAAGGGGGAAAAAAAAATCAGGGAAATTGAGCATAAAATTGTAAATGCACACGTTCCTGCACCACCTAGAATTTTTTCAGAGTTCAGGTTCCTGCGGCACTGGTTCTTCAGTGGAAACAGAAGAGTCTACTCCATGAACTTGAGTTTTATTTTCCTCCAGTAAGCTGAAGTGGTCTTTCATTCATGGGAATCAAAGGCTCATTTTCAGAATCGCCCAACCCCTGTAGCATGTTTGTAAAGTCAAAATTGGCTTTCTGGCTCAGACTAACATTTTAGCTCTGAAACCGCAGTCTTGCACATGAGAAGACTGGCCAGAATCACGCAAGTTTGCTAACCTGCTGGATATGGTTGTATCTGAGAGGAGCCACAATGGCTAATGGCCTCGACAGGACAGAGGGGGCATTTCGGGCAGAGGTTGGGGGAGGGGTGCACCTGGTTTGGGTCTAGGGGAGACGGAGTGCCAGGGAAGTGGTCACCAGAGGGCGAAATGGATCTGGAAAGAGGCAGGGGTTAGAGACCTAGGTTGGGAGTCCTGCTCTGGGGATCACGGAGGAACGCAGGTGACCAAATAGCAAGAGAGGAAAGAAGAGGGTGAATTTCCTGCATTTCTAGTGGAGGAGGGGAATGGAGAGGACGAGAGACTATCGAGGGGGGACCAGGATGGTGACGCTGCTGGACAAGGACAAGGGGAGAGGCAGTGTCAGCCCTGCTGTGGCCGGCCCAGAGGACAAGAGCGGGAACACTGGACAGGACGAGAGCAGATATCAGCTGTGTGCACTGGTCCAGAAAATATGGGGAAGGAAGGGGACGGGGGACTGTTCCAGGGTCAGCTTGTAGGTCAAGGTAGCCAACCCGGTGATGAGAGACCCTGCCTGAGCTCTAGGCCCAGAAAGGGTGTGATCAGAACCATGAGGAGGGCTCGGCCTTGGGAACCAGGAAGGACGTCTGTCCTCCAGAACCAGAGAAAGGAGACAATGAAGGAAGCTAGAGGAGTCATAAACTTGGAGCAAAGTTGAAGAAGGTTCTGGTAGTTTCTGGCTTCTTAATAAAGAAGGAAATGAGGATGAGGGGCCCGAGGTGGGGCTGGGAGCTTGAGGAGAGTGAATAGAGGCTTGGGAAACACAAAGATGCTGTATCAGTCACTTGTGTTTCTTGTGTCCGTGAGCCCCGGATGCCGTGGAAATTCCAGAACCTTGAGAGACGCCGACGGTGACTTGGGCAGTCCCAGAAACTAGCCCCTGAGCTCCCGCCCTCCTGCTGCCTTCAGGCCGACCCTGACCCGTGCCCTCCGTCTCTGTTCTCAGCTGCCCTGGTGTCTGCGGAGGATGCCACCCTGTGCCACCAATCCCCGGACACCCACCTGGTCCTCCCACGAGGACAAGAGTGCCTGGGGGACCCTGGCATTGCTCCAAGGCCGGGCAGGGGGGCATCCCCCAGTGGCCAGACCCAGATGTCTTGGGGTCTCCACTTTGCTGCTGCAAAAAGAGAAGCGCCAAACGGATCGCAGTGGGACCCAGTAACCCACAGCGGCTCATGGCTCTCAGAACCTACAGAACTACGCATTAGGGCCCGCCTGGGCGTGTACAAACCCCACTCCATACGACTCCCCCCAACCCCGGCCTCAGCAACACCACCGATGAGGCTCTTGCAAGCAAAGCGGACCTTTTCCCTGAGTGTGGCATCCTGACTTTGGGCAGTTCCCGGGCTCCTAGAATGGTCGAGCTGGAAGGGGACATTCATCTGGCTCGAGCCCACCTTAGGTGAGGAGGTGGGGTCAGAAAGAGCCCGGTGCGGGGGGACAGGGGCAGATGGGCTGGGGGCTAAAAGCAGCTTCCTGTGCTGCCGAAGGCCTGTGCCCCAGCCCTCAGCCCCTTCCCGGGCAGCCCCCCAAAGTTAGCGTCTCTCCCTCGGGCTTCTCCAGCCCCCGGCTCTGGCATCCCGCTGGGGATTTGAGCCCCCTGGCAATCTGCAGGGGCCAGAGGTTGACAGAAGGAAAGATCGATCTGCTCACGCTCCAGACTCCCCTGGGGACGGTCCTGATGGCCAGACTCCTGTCCTGCTCCCCTCAGCAATGACTGGACGGCAGGCCCCCCTGGGTTCCTCTGCTGGTCCTGCTGCCCTGCTGTTGGCACAGAGAGGGCAAACGTCCGAGGGCAGCTCAGGACGCACTCTTTCATTGCACGAGGCCAGGATTCCTCCGTGGGGCCAGAGCTGTCTTTCCAAACCACAGAATGTGCCAAAATCCATGGCCACCTAGCTCTCCCCCGCTTCAACGTGCGTCTGCGGCACCACAGGTGCTCTCCCCACACTGCACAAGTTCAGGACGCTGTCCTTGCAACCTTCCAGGGGCACCAGTGGGGCTGATGCAATGTCTCTCCCTGGGGTTAACCTGGCACCGCAGACAGGCCCCCTTTTTGAAGGCGGCCAAGTGGGACCCAAGCCGCAGGCAGGATTTAATGCCTTTGGGACCTTTAAACAGAGGCTGTGGGTTCCTGGGGTGCTGGCCCCTAGAGTCTTATTCTGAGTGTGGCCCCTCCGAGAAGTGTGGAAACTGCAGATGGCAGGCGAGGGTGAGGGCCTGTGTTGTGGGGGGAGAGGGGGTCCCCGCTCCTTGCTCCCCTTCTGGTCCCCCTGCCCCTTCGGAGATGTGCTGTGCCCCCAGGTGGGAGAAGCCAGTCCCCTGAACCCGGTTGGCTGACTCTTCTGTCCTACATTTATTCACGGGGGACCCGGGCCAGTTTTGTTCTTTTGCTGTGTTATCAGCCGTGTGTCCAGAGATCTTACTGTCTGATTACATAATGACGTTCGCCAGGAGGACCTCATTGTAGCAAGAAATGCTCCGTCCGGGCACTACCTGGCAGATTTTGGAAAGCCCTTATTTCTGTCCCTAGGAGCTGACCCCGGTCTTCCACACACATCAAGCTGCAAGGGTCCCAGAGGGCTTTCCAGGACAGGCCAAGTCTTGGCACACCAATGCGTACGGCAGCTAAGTGTTGCCCCTCCAGCAGGTGGGGGGCCCTCGTTCCCTCGTCTGGGAAGAGACAGCCTGGATGGGAACAGGGCAGCAAATAGAGCCAATAACTGCCCAGCCTCTGACTGTCGGAACGCGGGGCCATTTTAAATATTGAGGGACTTTCTACATTCAGAGCTCAAAACTACTCAAGAACGATAAAAAATCCAGTTTAAGGATATAATTGTTTTGAGGCAGAGGAAGGAAGCAGAGAGGGCTGGGGGCACCCAGAGTGTCTGTTTTACTGCTGTTTCTAGACTCTTACGTAGATGCTCTAGGCACAGCTTTGTATTAGGAAATATTCAATAAAAGTTGAAATCCTCCAAAGATATCTTGCATCCCTCTTAAGGACTTGCAGACTTCTAGAATTTTAGACTGGGAGGCTTAGTGCACCTCCTCCTTTGGGAGCACCCCAGACCCCCTAGTGGACTGTGACCGCAGCCTACGGGCGTGAGAACCCCGGGGAACTTCTCGCACCTTGCTAAGGTGGGGGGCAGAGAACAGCATTTCCTCAGGACTCACCCGTGGATTCTGATGCTTTCCGGGAGATTCCTGTGTGGTCTCAAACCTTAGCCCTCCTGTCCAAAGCTGGTAGATACCCTCAAAGAGCACCAGACCCAGGCCCCCGCCTGGACGGTGATGTCTGGCCTGAGCGTGGGCTTTGGGTGGAAATGAATGCACCTCGGTCCTCAGGTACGCTCC